CAGTTCCCAAGTGCGGTCTTTGTTTGTAGACTATCTCTTCATTCCATTGCATTCTACAAACATAGAGTCATTACCTTTCTTGGTAATCCTACAAGATCCATTCATTCTTTTTTCTCTGATAGATGGTATCTGCTTTTGGGTGTACCTATCCCACGCTAGGCTTTCTATGGGATACGATCGGAACTAGAATCACAAGGAAAGAAATTGGCTAATCGAGAGCTCAAATAACTTCATTGCAGCTTCTAGGCTCCTATTCCACGCTAGGCTTTCTATGGGATATGATCAGAACTAGAATCACAAGGAAAGAAATAGGCTAATCGAGAGCTCAAATAACTTCGTTGCAGCTTCTAGGCTCATTCCGTATAACCTTCTCAGTTCTAAACCACAGTTAAATATATGAAATCAATTTGGCACATACATAGTTCTTAATTGAGTCATTCACACCACATTTTAATGCCTTTAAGCCATCCAATATCCCATGAAGATAAATTTATCTGCTCTCGGTTTTAAGCTTCCCTCATTTACAGTATATGTTGTGCACCCAAAAATTCTGTACACCCAACTATTCTCACCTATGATAATTTGCTGGTTCATCACTCACATTTCTTGTGGTGTTCTAAACCCAATACGTGAATAAGGAGATCTATTTAGCTGAATAACAAAAGGAAAAAAGAAATGAAAAGAAAAATAATGATATATTACATGGTTCAACGGAAGCCTATACTAAAAGTTGACACAAGTCTCCATGACTTGAAAATACCCAATCACTTGCCTCTCAAAGTTAAAATCCCAAGTTCTCTGATTTTTTCTCTCTTTTTTCCACTAAGAAGTTTATCATGTACAAGTTTGAAGTTACAAAAAGACTTCAATTTGATCATAATTCCACAAGAAATTATAACTAACTCGTAACGCATGTTTGACTTAGCTTATAAGTAAGCTTTTCGAGAACATAATTGGGTACGTTATTTTATCTTACTTATTTCCAATTTTGACTAACAAAAAAAAGACTTATAGCAATAAACACTACATAAATGTTTGAGCTTAGCCAACACATAGCAATAAACACTACATGCCTAAAGTA